TAGGCATCTGACTCTTGGTTTCAGCTCAGGTCATGATCTCACCATTCATGAGTTCTAGCCTGGCACTGGGCTTCTATTGGCAATGCAGAGCCTACTTGGGATTCTTTCTCTCTCCTCTCTCTGCCCCTCCCTTACTCACTTGTGCATGTGCACTCTGTCTCTTGCTTGATCACTCTCTCTCTCTCTCTCTCTCAAAATAAACTTAACACACACACACAAACAGGGGCGCCTGGGTGGCTTATTTGGTTAAGCTTCCAACTTTGGCTCAGGTCATGATCTCATGGTTCACAAGTTCAAGCCCCGCATCAGGCTCTCTGCTGACAGCTGAGCCGGGAGGCTGCTTTGGATTCTGTGTCTCCCTCTCTTTCTGACCCTCCCCCACTCATCTTGTCTCTCCCTCAGAAATAATCATTAAAAAAATTAAAACTCAGCAATCAAAAAGAATGAAATCTTGCCATTTGCAACTATGTGGATGGAACTGGAGGGTATTATGCTAAGTGAAATTAGAAAAAGACAAATATCATATGGCTTCACTCATAAGAGGAATTTAAGATACAAAACAGATGAACATAAGGGAAGGGAAGCAAAAACAATATAAAAACAAGAAGGGGGGCAAAACATAAAAGACTGTTAAATATAGAGAACAAACAGAGGGTTGGTGGAGGGGTTGTGGGAGGGGGGATGAGCTAAATGGGTAAGGGGCATTAAGGACTCTCCTCCTGAAATCATTGTTGCACTGTATGCTAACTAACTTGGATGTAAATTAAACAATAAATTAAAAATTAAGTAAAAATAAGTACATAAAAGTATGTATCGTAAAACCAAAAAATTAAAATTAAACTATAACATTTAAGAACTTTTTTTCCTATCTGCTAATTAATTTTACCTACTACTTTACATAGTAATGTCACTATGATTCAATTACCTCTTCTATTTTGAATAGATTTTTAGGTCAAAATCACATACAATGAATCATTTTAAGACTTATTGTTCTCATTTCTTAATGTATACAAATATTGTATAATTGTTATTTTCCTGAAACTGTTATATGCCAATTATGCTTCATTAAAAAATAAGACTTTTTTAATAAAGTACATAACTCAGTAGCATTTAGTATGTTCACAATATTACACAACCATCACATCTATCTAGTTCCAATATATTTCCAATATCCCAAAAGAAATCTCCATACTTATCAGTCACTCCCATTTCCCCTCTCAATCAGCCTTGGCAATCACCAGTATGTTTCTATGAATCTACCTACTCTGGATATTTTGTGTAAAAGGAATCATAATCATACAACATATGAACTTCTTCATCTGACTTCTTTCACTATATTTTCAAGGTTCATTCACACAGTATCCTGTACCAGTATTTTATTCGTTTCTATAGCTAAGTCATAATCCATTGTATGCATATACTACATTTTGTTTATCCATTCATATGTTGATGGACAAATGGGTTGTTTACAGCATTTGGCTATTGTGACAGTGCTGCTATGAACATTTGTGTACAAGTATTTTGAGTGGATGATTTTTTAATTTTCTCTTGGATAGGTACCTAGAAGTGGAATTATGGATCATACGGTAATTTTATGTTTAACTTTTATAAGTACCACCAGATTCTTTTTCTACAGTGACTGAACCATTTTACATTCCCACTAGCAATGTATGAGGGTTCCCATTGAACATCTGCACCCATACTTATTTTGTGTTTTCACTATAGTTATCCTTATGGATGTAAAGTGGTGTCTCACTGTGGTTTGATTTTCATTTCCCTGAAGATGACATACACTTTTATGCTTTCAAGATTCTGTATTCAGCTTTAGATAGTTTGAATATATAATGTCTCTTGTTGTGAATCTCTTTGAGTTTCTCCCATTAGGATTTGTTGAGCTTCCTGGATGTACAGATTCAAGTGTTGTAACAAATTTGAGTTTTCGGCCCTTATTTCTTCAAATAATTCTGCCCATTCTTCTCCTCTCCTTCTGGTACTCCCTTTTTGCAAATGTTGGCATGATTCGTTGCACTCCACAGGTCTCTTAAGCTTTATTTATCTTTTCCTTCATTCTTTTTTCTTTCTGCATTTTGGGTTAGACAAATTTCAATTAACCTACGTTCAAGTTCACTGGTTCATCCTACTGCCTCTTCACATCTGTTGGAATCCTAGTGTTTTGTGTATGTGTGTTTTCAGTTCAGTCTTAATACTTTTCTGCTCAAAATTTGTGTGGCTCTTTTTTAATTTCTTTGCTGATATTTTCTATTTGTTGAGACATTGTCCTCCTGAATTCCTTTATTTCCTGAGCTTTTTTTGAGACAGTTCATTTAAAGTCCAATGTTTGTGCTTCGTAAGGGATGGTTTATATTCATTTCTTCTGTAAGTGGGCCATATTTTGTTTCTTTGCATACTTCTTAGCCTTTTGTTAAAATTTTTAGTATTATTATGTAGTTCTCTGGAAATGAGATTCTTCGTGCCTCAGGGTTTTTTTGTTTGTTTCCTGCTGTGGCCTTAACTGTTTGTTACTTACCTATTTTTTAATATTAAGTATCAATTCTTTGACTTATGTGGTCTCTAAGGTCTTTTTCTTGCATTCAGCTAATAAGCTGACAGATTTCTTTGAATGCCAATAACCAAAAAATAAATAAAACAAGAAGTTAAAAAAAAAAAAAAAGAGGGGCACCTGGCTCTGTGGATTAAGCATCCAACTTCGGCTCAGGTCATGATCTCGCAGTTTGAGCCCCACGTCGGGCTCTGTGCTGACAGCTTAGAACCTGGAACTTCCTTCAGATTCTGTGTCTCCCTTTTTGTCTGCCCCTCCCATGCTCATGGTCTGTCCATCTCTCAATAATAAATAAAAATGTTTTTTAAAAAAGGAAAAGAAAAATAAATCCTCCGACTCTACAGATTTAACTGTGTTGGAGCACACCTTCACTGCTTTGTGAGGCCATTTAAAATCTGCCTTAGCTGGGGCGCCTGGGTGGCTTAGTCGGTTAAGCGTCCGACTTTCACTCAGGTCATGATCTCGCGGTTCGTGGGTTCGTGCCCCGCGTCGGGCTCTGTGCTGACTGCCAGCTCAGAGCCTGGAGCCTGTTTCAGTCTGTGACTCCCTCTCTCTCTGACTCTCCCCTGCTCACGCTGTCTCTCTCTCTCTCTCTCCTAGAAATAAATAAAACATTAAATAAAATAAAATAAAATCTGCCTGAGCTTTCACTATCTGCTCATGCTGAGCCTAGACAGCAGCCAGCGTGAAAGCTTGGGGGCTTCTAAACATGTCAGTTGGCCTGGACACAAGTGGCTTCCTCAATTCCCCAGTATACATGGTCTTTGAATGGCCTAATTTCCCTAAGAAACTCTCTCCTTTTTTTCCTTCTCAGACTTTAGGCACTCTTTTATTTACCTCAGCTGTCATTTTTTGCCCCAGGTAGCAGCAGGGTGTTCATTGGCCTTATGATCTTTTTGAGAAATGCCTGCCACTTTTCTACCCTGAGTTGTGAGTTAGAGGAAACAAAGGCAAGTGCCTTGCTTCAGTCCTTCAGATTGCCCCAGACAGAATAGTGTTTTGAGAGTAAGGGATCCGCTGCTCCCTCAGAACCAGTGAACAGAGTCCCTACTCAGAGAATGTGGGTTTGCCATCTGTCATCAAGACCACCATGGAGCAGGGAAGGGGAATGGAGCAAGAGAAGTAAACAACAAAAAGATTTCCTAGTTTTTAGTTTGCTTTTTCTTGATTCAGCATTTGCTTTGTTGCTATAAACCTAGTTCTGACAAAGTTGTTTCTGAATGATTTTGCCTTGAAGCTCCCTACTCTGTTTTTGCTGTTGGTTATTATTTTTCTTTTTAGTGCTTGATATCGTATATGAAAAACTGTAAAGCGATTTAAGGCTTGGGATGTTAAAATTCTCTGGTGATTTGGGTGCACATATCTAGTTCAGTCAGTGGAGCATGTGACTCCTGATCTTAGGGGTTGAGTTCGAGCCCTATGTTGGTTGTGGAGCCTACTTAAAAATTTTTTTTAAATTCTCCATGATTGGAGCACCTGGGTGGCTCAGTCGGTTAAGCGTCCGACTTTGGCTCAGGTTATGATCTCAGTTTGTGGGTTCTAGCTCCACATCGGGCTCTGTGCTGACAGCTCAGAGCCTGGAGCCTGCTTCAGATTCTGTCTCCGTCTTTTTTGCCCCTCCCCTGCTTGCGCTCTATCTCTCTCTCAAATATTATTTTAAAAAAAAAATTCTCCAGTGAATTATTTTTGCTTGTCAGTTGCATTAGCATTCCTAAGTAACTTTAAAATGTCAGGGAATGGATGACTTAAAGCTGCACTTCAGGCCCTGTGAGGGACAGTCTGTTTTTCATTAACCTTATGCTAAGGTGTGATCCCTCAGAGTGCAACTGAAAGCCTGGGAGGTTTACCAAGGCACTTCTTCCTTGATGGTACCTGTGTGGAAGTATATGTTAGGAATTTTAGAACTTGCTGAACTCTGTAAATAGGCCCTCTGTAAATATAATACATATTAGCTATTACTCTATTTTCAAAGTTCTCTGGGTTATAGGCAAGAGAGTAAGTGTGGAAAAGACACAGCACAAATTGGAGCCAACAATTTGTTTGACAAGTAGAAATGAATGCCTTCTTCATCTTACCATCAACGGAAGGAGTAAGGTGAAAGAAATAAGTAAGGAAATAATAGGGCAAGCAAGTTAATGTAGAAATCAAATTTATTGATAGATTTACTGAGGGCAAATTATTTTATTAGATATTATCCATAGTGTATGTTGACATCTGATTTTGCAGAGAAATTGTATCATTATTTTTATTAAGATAACTGACACTGCTGAAGGTAAATTTAGTTCTGTTTGTTTTTTTTTTAATGTTTTTTTCTTTTAATTTTTATTTTTTGAGAGACAGAGACAGAGCGCAAGCAGAGAAGTCGGGGAGAGAGAAGGAGATACAGAATCTGAAGCAGGCTCCAAACTCTGAGCTGACAGCACAGAGCTCGACATGGGGCTTGAACTCATGAACTGCACGATCATGACCTGAGCCAAAGTTGGACGCTTAACTGACTGAGCCACCCGGGCGCTCCTAAATTTAGTTCTTTGAAGTAGCACATTTTCTGATCTCCAACAGGGCTTGGCTTTACTTAGCTATCACAGTCAAATCTCCTTAAAGTTATACACTTAACTTGATGTGGGCACCAAATGTTTCCTTTGCATATATTCCTTCTAAGTGTGCTTGTTCTTCATGCTGAAAAATCTCAACTTCCAGAAATTTGCCTGCTAGATCAAAATTGTCAGGACCCATCTACAGGTTAAGATTTCAATAAAGAAAAAAATATATATATACATATTTTATTATATACAAAGGATAAAGTTTCCTCAGGTAAACAAGAGGATAGAAATTATCATCATAATTATTAGCTTCAGAAAGCCCTTTTAAATCACTGAGAACTCTGCACAAAATGAAGGCCACACAGCCATTAATCAGAGTTCCTGGTAGTTCTCCCATAAGAGTGATCGATATTATGGAGAAGCTGGCTTTTTACAAACTCTGTGGGGGCTAATGTGTGAAGGCCTCATAAAGAAAGGAGTGCTTCTACATCTGGGGGGAAGCAGACTAAAAATATTAAAAAAAGGAATACTTCCAGGGTTATGTTTATTGCGACAGTAATTTTAGGCAGAACCACAGAAAAGTATTAAAGACTTCTAGATAAAATTCAGGCTATCTCATAATAAGAATGAATACCATTTTGTAGCTCTACAAATGCAAAAGGAGAAAGTGAGCTGAGAATGCAGACTGGAAAAGTCTAGGGAAGGAAGCAAGCAGATAAGTTCAAGCCTAGAAGAACTATACAACTTTTATATATGTGCTGCCTAGTAATATACCAGAAAGGGCTATTTTATATCAAAAGCTAAAAATTACACATTTACTGAATGCAAGTCTCAAATAATAAACCCATAGTATTTTACTCAAACCCATAGTAATATACAGTGAACTATAGGGATGACAGAAAAATGGGCAGACATATTAAATTCAACTAAATTTACAGTATTGCCTTGATATTTTCCATTCGTTTTTCATCTATACATAAGGCTCAAGTTCTGGAGTTATAGGTTTTATTTTTCATTTTTCTTAAAAATAAAAATTACCAATCCTCAAGTTAACTAAAGATTTATCTGGGCTCGTAGAGGTAACCTGCTCCGTGTAACAGAATGCTCTGTAGTTTCTTCCACTTTAGACCTCTCCACTGAATTAATGCCCCTGTTTTCTTTGTCTTTTCCATGTGATTTTTTATGCTGTGGATATAAGGGAAGAAATTAAGTCAATAAAGTAACATTTTACTTTATGTATTACAGTTATATGTTAATACAATATATATTAGCTACACTCTATTTTCAAAGTTCTCTGGGTTATAGGCAAGATATTAAGTGTGGAAAAGACTCAGCACCAATTTGAGCCAACAATTTGGCAAGTAGAAGTGAATGCCTTCTTTATCTTACCAGCAATGAAGGAGTGAAAGAAATATTAATTTTCTGCATAATTTTGCAAGACAAAATTATAGACTTTACTGTAGGGCAGTGGTTCTCATCAGGGAGCAATTTTACACCTCAGAGGACATTTGGTATTAACTGGAGACATTTGTGGTTGTTGAGACTGAAAGGTGCCATTGGCTTCTAGTGGGTAGAAGCCACGGATGCTGCGAAACATCCTGTAATAATAAGACAGTCCACCATGACAAAGGATAATCCAGCTCAAAATGTCAACAGAGCTGCTACTGTAAAATCCTGCTGTAGGAAAATAAAGATATGATATCATGCAAAAAAGGCAATTCTATTTTAAGCAGAGAATCTGATATATGGCTACCTCGAGGTATTTTTTTTAGCTGTATTTTACCTTTTAAACTTATTTCATATTTCTCACTTGGGAATTTTATTTCATTGGAATTCTCATATACTTGCCCATAGAGAGCTTTAAGAGACTAATGACATTCACTGCAGGCCCAGTCATCCATGCTGAGTCAAATCATAAATCAACTTTAGAATTTCAAACCCAGAGAATTTCCCCACATGAGACTGCTATCAGGGAAAAAATAATTTCCATACTTCAGCTGAAGGTCCAAAATCCAATCCCAAATCTTTTCTTGTACTATTGGGACTTCCCTGCCATAGCTGAACCACTGAGTTCGCCTTCAAATTGCCATAAACGGTAGTAAATGAAAGGATTTCCATCCAGGGATTAAGTAGTCACTAAGGTTTTCTTTTCTTAACTTTCCTTCTTTCCTTAACTTTATAAGATAGAAGAGAGGGCTAAAAAATGGAACGAAATATATTTAGAGTTCTCTAATAGTAAAGCAAAAGGTAGGAAGGATTTGGGGATAAAATTACCTTGAGGCAGACATAATGGAATTGAACAGAATCTAAGCTAGAAGTTTTAACCAGCTTAAATGGGGGAAGGAGAATTTTTAGACCCTGGTAGGAAGACCCCAGCAAGTCTATTAGATACTAGCACATACAGTTATGAGAAGCAGCATTTCAACTGTAAAATGTAGACGTCAATGTGTTACATGGGAAAATCCCTCCTTTACAGACTGTGTCTAGGCTCGTGTCTTCCAAACAAGGGAGAGGTGCTGGGCAATTCATAGTGCCATGCTCCCAACAGTGTTGAAAAGGGGTTAGGAAAGGTCACAGGATTTAAATGCACAAGATCAAGGCTGGTGAGGAGCTTAGGAAACATGGGAATCCTTAACAAGAGAAAAGTGTCAGGCAGGAGAACTAAAATAACCTGAGAGGCCTTCAATCAGTCTTTTAAACCTCTTTGCCTTCAGAGTCTGAGTATGGGCCCCAGAGATAGGCCCCAGGATGTCCATGTCAAAGGTAGAAAGAAGAGAGAAATGACTGCTCTTTGTATCCATCAGAGAATGTAGGAAGTGAAAGAGGATAAATATAATAGCTAAAGAGTACTATCTGTGGAAGGAGATGAAGTCAAACTTTGCCTTTATTTATCCGATAGAAAACCCCTGACCAATTATCAGCTTTGTGTAAATAATTTAAATCAGAAAACTTAACAACCTATCCCAAAGGAATGAGAAAATATTTTCTGGTTTCACCCACCAAGAGTAATGAATGCCTTCCTTCACACTGTATACCCACTGACTGACTTCTATCAGACATGGAAGGATTATCTAACAGGTATAATCAGGTACCTGGAAAAATGGAATCCCACCACTTGATGAACAATCCATACTTGCATCTATAGACGGCTCTTGACTTGGAGGTTCTTCTATTGAGTGCCCTAGAACTGACTTGTCTTCATCCAAGTCCTAAAATAAGAAAATAGATTAGTGATTTACGTCCAAGGACTTAAAAATCCTCACAAAAGTAAACGCAATTTCTTCTTTGAAAGTAACACAACGTCCATTGTATAAAGGTTAATCCTCAACAAAATTCGTAGAAGGTCTAATAAATAATGAAAAGAATCTCAAATGTTTTCTCATAGAGAAATACCTATAATAAAATGTTAAAAGTAGTAATCTTAGAATAATGGGATTATAGTTTATTTTTTATTTTATATGTCACTTCATGATTTTCCAATCAATACTTAACTATAGTAATTATAGACAAGGGGTACTTGAGTGGCTCAGTTGGTTAAGTGTCCAACTCTTTTTTTTAAAAGTTATTTCTCTATTTGAGAGAGACAGTACGAGTAGAGGAGAGCGGGGAGGCGACAGAAAGAGAGAGAATCTAAAGCAGGCTCTGCACCCTCAGTACAGAGCCTGATGGCGGGGCTCCTCCAATCTATGGACTGTGAGGTCACGACCTGAGCCGAAACCAAGAATCAGATGCTTAACCAACTTGAGCCATCCAGGCACTACTTAAGCCTGGAGTAGATTGCTTAAGATTCTCTCTCTCCTTCTCTCTCCACCCTTGCCCTGCTCACTCTCAAGCAGTCTCTCAAAAAAGAAGAAGAAGAAGAATTACTATAGTTAAGAGCACAGGTTGTGGAGCTCTTCAGGTTCTAATTCCAACTCTCTCCTGTGACATAGGACAAGGTAATACTTTGTTTCCTCACCTATAAAATGCAGACAGTACTAGCATCTACTTCAGAGGGGTACAAAGAGAATTAACTGAGTATAAATATACATATATATATGTAAAGTACTCAGAACAGGCTCTGTGACATAATAAACATAACATAAATACTAGTTATTATTATTATGACTTTAAGAATTTTAAAATGTCCAGATTAAAAGAAACAGGCCTAAGGGTCAGACGACTACCATTAATGAGACAGGGTAGGATTTAAGGGCAAAGAATACAATTCTTCATATGAAGTTGAGGATAAAAGGAGTTGATGCAAGAGACCTAATATTAGGATGCTTTAACTATTACCTGACTGATCTCCTCCTTGTTGTTTTCGGAACAGTTTAGCATCATTAACAGTTCAGGTTGCTTCCTTTTCAACTGATCAAGGAGCTGTTCACGTGGTTCAGTTCTCACCAGTGTTGATGGGTATAAGTAATTTTTCCTCTGTGGTGTCATACCTTTAGTGCATTATATAAATGGGAAAAAAAATGAAGTGTGGGATTTGAAAAAGATTTCTTTTATGCTAAAATGTGTACTTCCCAATGAGTCTCTGTCTTCCAACGATATAACCATTGCCATACATGGGAATCAGTCTTATTACTGATTATTACTACTTGTTACAGGCATATATTGCTTACAACTAATATTTCCTAACTTGACAAATGATCTTAAATATATACTCCACTATTTTCAAGATCCAACCTATCCCCAAACATGAAACTATCCATCTCTAAAGATGTACAAAAAAATGTGTTGTGGGCTCTAAAAGGAACTGGAGTTCTGCACTCTGAGAAATGGCATTACTGGAATAAGTACAGTTTTCCCAACGAGATCACTTTGATAGGATAATCATTTCACTATAAATTTGGTGGCAGTTAAATATTAACCAATTACATCTCTTTATAATGAACTCATGCTCTCATATTTTTTTTTCATGCTCTCATATTTTATATGAGCACTTTTCATTTAACATTTATATTCCTAATTTTGTTGAAAAGTAGACAATAACTATTACAGGACTCTTATGTAAAAAATAAACTAACAATCTTCAGCATCCTCGCCTTTTATAACTGCACTTGCTATCCCCCTCTTGTTCTCTCTCTCCCTCTCTCAATTCAATTCAAGCGTGGGATTTGAATAAGATTTCTTTTATAATGTATATTTCCCAAAGAGTCTCGTCCTCTGAAGATATAACCATCACCATACATGAGATGGATAGAGATATATAGATAAATACATATATCTTTGAAGTATAATTTTTTTTTAATTTTTTTTTAATGTTTTATTTATTTCTAGGAGAGAGAGAGAGAGAGACAGCATGAGCAGGGGAGGGTCAGAGAGAGAGGGAGCCACAGACTGAAAGAGGCTCCAGGCTCTGAGCTGGCAGTCAGCACAGAGCCCAACGTGGGGCTCGAACCCACGAACCACGAGATCATGACCTAAGCGAAAGTCGGACGCTTAACCGACTAAGCCACCCAGGTGCCCCTGAAGTATAATTTCATACCATAAAATCCACTCAATGATTTTTAGTAAATTGACAGGGTCCATAACCCTCAATGCAATCCAAAGAATAACTCAATTTCTTACATTGTTAAATAGTTTGTTATATTTTCTTCCCTAAATCATTATAGCCGACACTGATCTTAGCCATCTCTGACCTCTCAAAGTGCTGTTCCTAAATGCTAAAAGTCCATGACAAAATAAGAAGTATACATAAGAAAATGCATAATGTGGTATGGTTTTGCCATTAAACTAGATTTATTTAGTTACATTCCTCTACTATTTTTGGTATTAAAATGCCTTTTTACAAAATAGTGCTAGATAGATGGTTGCTGATTTTTATTTGCTTTTAAAATGTCTTCTCTCAGGGCGCATGTGTGGCTCAGTTGGTTAAGTGTCCGACTTCAGCTCAGGTCATGATCTTGCAGTCTGTGAGTATGAGCCCCGCATTGGGCTCTGTGCTGACAGCTCAGAGCCTGGAGCCTGCTTCAAATTCTGTGTCTCCCTTTCTCTCTGCCCTTCCCCTGTCCCTTCCAGTGCTCTCTCACTGTCTGTCAATAATAAATAAATGTTAAAAAAATTTTTTTAAATAAACTAAAATTAAATTAAATTAAATTAATCTTCTCCTGGGGCACTTGGATGGCCCAGTTACTTAAGCATCTGACTTCGGCTCACGTCGGGATCTTGTGATTTGTGAGTTTGAGCCCCATGTCAGGATCCATGCTGACAGCTCAGAGCCTGGAGCCTGCTTTGGATTCTGTGTCTCCCTTTCTCTTTGCCCTTTTCCTGCTTACACTCTCTCTCTCAAAAACGAATAAACATTAAAAAAAATTTTTTTTAATGTCTTCTTTTAACAAAGCCAGTTCCCTAAATATTTGTAAAACTTTATTGAATTGTGATCCCTGAATTTCTACAAGTACATGTCACTTGTTTCATGACATCTAATCTTGATTAAAGCTATTTTAGGGTCCCAGTTTTTTCATTTGAGTTGACTACAGCAAGATGGTAAAATCCTATCAGGCAATGGCAGAAACATCTGCCACAGTACAAGGTTGACTTCCATTTTTAAAAATTTGAACCATTCTATTTTCCTTTTAAATTACCTGTTGGGAGGGGTGCCTGGGTGGCTCAGTTGTTTAAGTGTCAACTTTGGCTCAGGTCATGATCTCACAGTTTGTGAGTTCAAGCCCTAGTGGGCTCTGTACTGACAGTTCAGAGCCTGAAGCCTGCTTCAGATTTTGTGTCTTCCTCTCTCTCTGCCCCTCCCCTGCTCATGCTCTGTCTCTCAAAAATAAATAAACATTAAAAATTTTTTTAAATTACCTGTTGGGATATCCAATTTCAGATCCTGTTGTAGAAAGGAATTAAGCTTAGTCAAACCAATTTTTATGGTTTCATTAAGTTCTAGACTTCGTGCAATTAATTTTTCTTCATCAGTAGTTATCTGATCAAAAAACATGTTACGCTGGTTCTCATTAGCTGCTTTATGTCCATTTAATTTTTCAGTAATCTCTGAACTTGAAGCCTCACAACCTTGGTTTACAGCCTGTAAATGATGCAAATGAGGATTCATTATTAAAATCTAAGAATGTGGAAACTAATTTGTCAATAAACTATTTTTAAAAAAATAAATAAAAAAATAAAATAAAATCGAAGTTATCAAATGTTTTATTCAATGTATTATTTTCTCTTACTTTGAAATTTTCCATAGTAAAGTTTTAAAAACACATGCAAAAGTAGAGACAGTAGTATAATTAACCCCCTTGTACTGACTACCCAGTCTCTGTGTTTATCGATACCTGGGTATAGATCAAACGAGATTAACCTTTTTTTTTTTTTTTTAAATATTTTTATTTATTTCTAGGAGAGAGAGAGAGACAGCATGAGCAGGGGAGGGTCAGAGAGAGAGGGAG